ATAGGGAAAAGAAATAGAGCCTTCTCCAAAGAAGACATACAGATGGCCAATAGACACATGAAAAATTGACCAACATCACTTATCATCAGGGAAATGCAAATCAAAACCACAAGGAGATACTACCGCACTCCTGTGAGAAGTGACCTATATCAAAAACACCAGAAATAAAATATGTTGGCCAGGGTGTGGAGAAAAGGAACCTTCGGACACACTGTTTGCAGTAGGATAGACTATTGTCCCATGGAAATCAGTATGAAGGTTTCTCAAAATATTGGAAGTAGATAATACTAATATAATCCAGCAGTTCTACTCCTGGGTATTTATCCAAAGAATTCAAAAAACACTAATTCAAAGAGACACATGCATTCCTATGTCCATTACAGCACTATTTAAAATAGCTAAATTATGGAAACAACTTCAGTACCCAATGACAGATGAGTATATAAAAATGTTTTATATATACAGAATGAATTACAACTCAGCTATTAAGAGATGAAATTTTGCCATGGATGGAACTGGAGGGGATTATGCTGAATGAAATAAATCAAAAGCAGAAAGAAAAATACCAGGTGATTTCACTCATATATGGATTATAAATTAGCAGAACAAAGGAATAGACCAAAAAAAAAAAAAAAAAGAAAAATGACTGCAGAATTGGAAATGCTCAAAGAGGGAAGGTGAGGATGAGGACCTAAGTAGGGAGGAGGCAAAATAATCGGTGGTGGAGGATTATTGTGCTATGGTGGTGTATATGGTATGGTAATGTACATCTGAAAAGATGAGGATCTATTTCCCTAAGTCATATACAGTGTTATAAAGAAACGTTCCCTCAAAAAAAAAAAAAAAAAGAGAAATAAAATGGATCTTGTAGACAACATATAGTTTTTTTTTTTTAATTCATTTAGGCAATCTATTTCTCTTAAGTGGTACATTTGATTAATTTACATTTAAAGTAATTAAAGATAGCGAAGGATTTACTATTGCTATTTTGTTATTTGTCTTAAAATGTTTTTGTCCTTTTCCTCTTTTGCTTTCTTCCTTTTTTATTTTGTTTTTGCTGTTTACACTGACAGGTTTTGATTCTCAAATCGTTTTCTTTTGTATATTTCTGTAAATATATTTGTCTACAGGTACCATTACAATTACACAAAACATCTTAAAATTATAACGATATTTTAAACTGATGACAACTAAACCTTAATTAAAGTACTCTTTCATTCAATTAAACTTCAATTAGTCTGTCTGCCTCCCATTTTAAATGTTTGATAATATAAATTACCCCCTTTGTTTTGCATATTTATTAATATAGATTTATAATTTTGACATTTTTTAAAGAAAATTTTAAATAAGACAAATTATTTACTTACCTAGAATACAATAATGCAGGAATCTGTATTTCCCTTGTTAGAGAATTTTGTATTTATGTGTATTTTTTGTGCTTTTATTTATCATCCATTTACTTCATTTCACAGGATTGCATTTGGTGTTTCTTGAGGGCAGACCTAGTGCTTTTGCTTAGCTAGTAAAGTCTTAATTTAGCTTCCATACTTGAAGTCAGTTTTTCTATATGAAGTTTTCTTGGTTGGCAGTTTTTTTTCTTTCTGTACTTTGAAATTTTCACCCAGCTTCCTTCTAGCCTGCAAGGTTTTTGCTGATAAATTTGATGGTAATCTAATGGGAGTTCCTTTGTATGTGATGAGTCACTTTTCTATTGCTGCTTTGAAGATTTTTTGTCTGTGACTTTTAAGTTTGCTTATGAAGTGTCTTGGATGGAGTTCTTCAAAATTCTTTATATTTCTCTTCACAGACATGGAAAATGTTTGGCCATTATTTCTTCAAATAATTTATCTCCCCCTTTCTCTTCTTCTTCTTTTGGTGCTCTCATAATGTTCATGTTTGCTTGATGGTGTTTTTTAAGTCCTTTTGGCTCAATTTTAATTCATTTTGTTCTCCTCTAATTCAGTCTTTGAGCTTTGAGTTCATTGATTCTTTTTCAATCTAGTTAAGTTGGCCATTGAGTTCCTCTAGTGAATTTTTATAAATTATAAATAATATATTCTTCAGTTCTAGAATTCCTGTTTGATTGCTATAGTTTTTATTTCTTTGTTAATATTTTTGTTCTGTTTAAGCAACATTTTTCTGATTTTGTTTTTAATTCTCTGTCTAATCAATTCATTGATCATTGTTATGACAGTAATCTTAAGTTCTTTTTCTGGCAATTCATACATCTCTGTTTCTTTAAGGTCAATTTCTAGGGCTTTCACTTGTTCCTTTTAAATGTGTTATGGCTTCCCGTTTATATGTCTTGTATTTTGTTCTTGGGATTTGGCATTGAAAATCAACCAATTCAGACATTGTGATCTGATTTTGTACCAGGATGACTTTTACTATTGAGCTGAGCTAGGGATTCTGTAGATCCCTTAAGCTTTTTTGCCTTTCTGAGCTTGCTGGTTTCTACTTAGGAGCTCTCCCTGGTGACTATCAGAGATGTTGTAACTTCTCTGGTGGTGTAGTACATCTCAGTACTGGTGTTCCACCTAGTGTGTATCAGTAGTACTGCAAACTCTGGTGCACGGTTTATTGTCTGTCCTGAGACTTATCCTGGCAACCCACTCTTATCAGTACTTGGACCAAGACTGGTTCTTCAGACTGTCCCCTAAACCCCACCAACCCCCATTCCCTTCTCCAGGAAGAAGACAGGAGTTGGGCGTTTCATCCCAATTGCACTAACCATGCTTGGCTGGAAGAAGACTGGCAAGAGAGTGGAGAGTGTCACAAATTTCTCCACTGAACTTCCATATCATTAACTTCATGCCATCTAGGGTACAGAAATATTTTAAGTAGTTTCTAGATATTTCATAGAAGCATTTGTTCAGTTTATTTCATTAAATCTATTTTTTATGGGGGAATGGAGAGTCTAATACTATTTTGTCATCTTGTAGACTTTAATCCTAGCCATATTTCTATTGGCTAGTGCCAATAGTATGATTTTTTCTGAGATGATTAGAACTTGAAAGTATTTTTTATGTTTTGTGCTATAAAGACTATATATGATTCTAAAAGATGTGAGAATTGAATCATTATTTTTCTCCAACTAATGTCTTTCCCTTAAGAAACTTGCTTCTCCCTTCACTAATATAGTAAAACTGGTTTTGATACCATTCCACCTGGTATTTCATTTTTGGGTGACTTCCTGTATGGTACTTAGCAATTCTTATTTATAATAAGTTGTATCATTGTATACCATTTCTTAAGTCCTTTCAACTTCATTTAAGTTCCCTATAGAGGAAAGAAAATACACATAACTTGCCAATATAGAAAAGCTATATTGGACCTTCTCTCTCCCCCTTAAACATAGCCTCGTGTGGATCACATTAGGTTCTGGGTAGATAAGAGTTCATGAAATACTTTTTGAGTATCTTTATGACAGGTATTGTTCTAAATACTGGAAACATATTAGTGAACAAAAGAGACAAAAAAATCCCTGTCTTTAACAAGCCTTCATTCAAAGGAGGGCAATATCTATTAAATAATAAAGAAATAAAATATAATATGAACAGAAAATCAAGTCATTTTTAAAAGGCTGCTCAAATAAACCCTCACTGTAAAGACACATTGAATAGAAACTACAAGGATATGAAGGAGTGATAGAATGTAACTCTGGAGAAAAGCTTTTCTTGAAGAAAGAAAGAACAAAGAACTTGAGACAATACAGTAAACTTATTGCTGAGGGTGTAGTGAGGTTAGTGTAGCTAAAGAGGAAAGACCAAGGACTGAAGTATAGAAGGTGAAGTTAGAAAATGTAGAAGGACTATTTGTGGAGAAGGGATATTCAGTGGGGAGGGCAGATCATTTAGGATCATTGGAAAGACTGATATTACAATGAGTGAAATGGGAAGACAGGATATGATGACATGATCTAATTTTCAGTTTGATAGAATTATTCTAGCTACTGTGTTAAGAAGGGGGAGGAGAACCATGGCAGAAAAAACTAGCCTGAGCCTATTGCTGTGACACAGACTAGACAGACTGATGCTCCACTTACAGTGGAGGAGGTGAAGAGAAGGCTTATCTTAGTCAGCTTGGGCTGTTATAGCAGAATGCCATCGACAATGTGACTTAAATTTATTTCAGCCTGGGGGCTGCAAGTCTGAGGTCATCATACCAGCTTAGTTGCGTTCAGGTGAGGAGCTCTTCCTAGTTTCCAAATGGTCATTTTCTAGCTGGTTCCACACATGGCAGAAAGAGAGAAGCAAGTTCTTCTAAGAACACTAAACCTTCATGAGGGTTCCACTGTCATAGCCTAATTACTGCCCAAAGGCCCTATCCAATTACCATCACAGTAGGAATTAGGATTTAATATGAATTTGGGAGGAACACAAATCTTCAGTCCATAACAGGATCAGATTTTAATAGTAGAAGCAAAGGAATTTACTGATCGACACGGATGTTACAATGAAATTAAAAATAAAACATCTATAACAACGGGAGTTCAAAGAGTTTCTTCTTTTTAAAATACTATTGGCTATATCACTTCATTGTTTTAATTTGGATTTACCTAAAATAGTAAGGTTTTATAAATGAAAAAGTTCTGTTTTCCACCTGGCTTCCTAGAAATGCTACCTTTGAGAACATGTCCCCTCTCTTCTCACAGCAAGGCTCTGCTATTCACTTGGGAATAAAGAATAGTTATTGTCAAGGCCATCACAGACTTTCAGGTTCTTATAAATCTAGCTTCCTAAAAATCAGGTAATAGCATTAATTAACAAATAGCCTCCAGTATCTGGTATTGTGACAAGTTAGAAAATGATGCTTTATCTTTATAGTGATGATAGCATTGAAAGGACTAAGAAGTACCAATTGGTATAGGGGAAAGGTAGGTATACGCCATGTGATTAAAAACATTTATAGGAAGAAAAGCTAGTTGAATTCTCTGTACATATAAACATTATGTAGCCCTTTGATTAATCACTTTCCCCATTTCTTCTGCTCTTTCTTAGATGTTCCTTGTATCCCTGTCCTTCTGCTTTATTGCCAAAGCACTAGGTTTTGCTGTCATGAAAAGTTCCATCACTCAAATAGAAAGGAGATTTGAAATACCATCTTCAATTGCTGGCTTAATTGATGGAAGCTTTGAAATGGGTAATTTTTTAATTTCCATTTTGATTGTTACTTAGTAGCCACATTTGCAGATACAAAAATTGTTCCTTCAACCTTTATACCAGTGGTTCCCAACCAGGGGTAAATCTGCCTTGGGGGCAGTTAGTCAATATCCAGACCTTTTTGTTTGTCATAACCTGAAGGGCAGGGAGGAGACTGCTGTTGGCATCTAGTAGTAGAGGCCAGAGATGGTGCTGAACATTCTGTGTTAACACAGGGCAGCTCCCACAACAAGGAGTCGCAACCCAGAACATCAGTGGTACAGAGATTAAAGAACCCTGATATGGCAAACTAAGGCTTTGCAGGGCTTTGTCCTACCTTTTTCAGGATGGGGGGTAAAAAGAAAAAAGATTGAGAGAGGGTTATGATTCTGATGATTTGCAGAGGGAGGACCTGCTTTGCAGCAACCTGTGTGCGGTTTCTACTGTTCAATTGAATATAAAACATGGAGTTAAAACGGTTTAGAACATTGAATATAATGTGTTTTTCTCTTCATTTTAATTTGAATTTTTTCAATATAGTGATGTTTAATACAATGATTGAGCATCCTTTTTATTTTATAAATTGATAGTTCACTAACTGCCCATTTTGCCATCTTTTTCACTTTTTAATCATTTGTAGGGAAGCAAAAAATATGTAGTATAGATTACACTTTCCACGAGTTTGCTTTTTATCTTTTTAATTTATTTAAAATATGTTTGACCATTAAGTACTTAAAATATAATCATGTAAAGGAATATATCTACCTTTTTCATATGAATTCTGCCTTTTCATTATTCAGAGGAGATTCTACCTACATATCCTTAACTCTTCCACCTCCCAGGTTTAATGAAACCATCTTAAAAATAGACTATTGGACTGCGTGAAACTATTGTTAGCTTCAAGTGTCTCTTTTGACTAAAGAATTGATTCTTTATGTTTTTGTTAAGTGTTGTAACTAACACTTATAATTTAGACACAGTTATAAGTTTTACTTAGTAAGTTTGTTTATTGAATTTTATAACTTCTAGTTTGTTGAATTTTATGACTTCTAGTTCCTCCCTAGGTTTGTGGAATATAACTTGAAGCAGTTATTTTTTTCCAGAAATAATGGAACACATTTTCTGAGCCCTTATTTATTGGAAGATGTATTTTACTATAATATTCAAGTGATGATTTGTCTGAGTATGAACTTAAATGTTCAAAATGTTCCTCACAACATTTAAAACATTGGTCTACAGTTTTATAACAACCATGTTGTAGATGCAAAATCATTCCTATTATTACCACCATCTATCAGCATCTCCTCTTTCTCACTGAATTTCAGAAGCTTTACCGGCATATGCCTGGGACTGTCTCTTTTTTATTTATGCTGGAAAAATGAAAAAAAATTTCTCTGGAGGCTTAATTCTACCTTTAAGTAGGTCATTTATTTTCTGTTTTTAAATTAGTTTCTTCCCATCTATCTTATTTATTTTCTGGGTTTTTTTCCCTTTAAATTTTTCTTTCTAAAATGATGTCCTTTTTTTCTTTATGTTCTGTCTTCCACCTGTCATATCATGTCCCAATATGTAAATTTTTCTATATTTTTAATTTACAGCATTACTTTATTTCTTTTAGTCTGTTAATTATTTTATGATTTCAACATACTCTGTACATCTAGAGATACTAACTAGATATTTTCAGTTTTCCTTCTTTTTTAGTACCTTTAGTTAACTCTTTCTTCATTGGTTACTGTATCTTCTGGTTCATTTTCCTTCTTTTGTGTCATCTTTTTTTTTCCCTTTCAAGTATTTCATTGTTTTTGGTTACTTTCTGTTTGTTACTATACCTGTAGCTCCTAATGAAGCACAATTGATTATGACTCCTTGTACTTACAAGGCTCTTCTTCCACCCTTTGATCTAAATAATCTAAATCATTTATACTCAGCATTAAATCTCAAATGGTCTCTCCTCCAGGAGACTCTCCTGAAACCCTTAATTAAGGTAAGTTCCCCTTTCTGTGGTCTAAGAGCACCTTTGCCCTTCTATTTTTATTGTGGGTCTGTAAGTTACTTGAGCACAGATAACATGTTTTTTTCTTTTTTTAATATTTCTAGCTCTTGACACTATACAGTACTTAAGAGGAAATTAAAGAATGCTAACAATGAATGAATAACTGCATTACTGAATACCTTTCCCTCAGATCCGGAAGATTTTCTCCATTTTTCTCGCTTACAATATAATATAATGAACTCCAAATTTTTCAGTAAAATTCTGCTTCACTAGTATTGCAAGTAATTCAAGTGCTGTCTTTTGTATCTGAAATCTAGTCTATTTACCATTAATATCATACAATTTTATAACGAGTGGTTTAAAGTAAATGAGTTTTATCTTCTCAATTAAACTTCATGATCTTTGAGGGAGTACCATATCTTGTGTTCTATTTGTATCCATTTTGTGGTCTTCCTTTTTACTGGACACAAATTAGACATAGCCAGTGTTTGTAATAATGAATCCTATAAAAATCATTTTGTTCTCTTTCTAGGAAATTTGCTTGTGATTGTATTTGTGAGTTACTTTGGATCCAAACTACACAGACCAAAGCTAATTGGAACTGGTTGCTTCCTTATGGGAACTGGAACTATTTTGACTGCTTTACCACATTTTTTCATGGGATAGTAAGTGTTAAAGAGCTCTGTGCCATTAATAGTCATTTGCTTGTAAATGAATGGTGGAACTTCATTTTTTCCTTTTAGATAAGCAGTCACCTTCTAAAAACTATGAACACTAAGTATGTTACACATGGAATATTTTTTCTATTTAGTAATTTGTGACTTCCATTGATTTTGAAATATGAATAGTACTAAATAAGATATATAGTTTCATGGGAAATAAACTTTATAACTTATTAGTATATGTATTTTGTATCTTTGCCTACAAGATTTTAATCTCAGTAAGACTTCACCACTCAATCCACTGCTGTATGAGTTTTCCCACTGCCATTTTCATTGATGTTGCTCTTCTTAAATTCATTATGTAGTTATGATTACAATCAGAGTCTAATGACTGGAAACCTAAAATGGTGATGGCTTAAATAAGACAGAAGCCTATTTTTCACATATAGAATTAATACAGCTGACTCAGGGATAGTATGATACCCCGCCCCCTTCCATATTTGACCTTATAAATACTTTCTACTTCCTTGCACTGCTCATTTTTATTTTTGTACATAAACCTCTCTTGTTTGTTTCCTATCTTTGTGATTTTTTTCATCATGCTTATCCTTTTCTGCTGCTGCTGACAATATAATGAGAGTATCCCTTATACTCTTCTTCAGTTTTCTTTGCTTTTCATTCTGCATCATTTGTCTGAAAAATATGCATTAAATGTCAACTATACATGGTGAATTTATCTTATATTCAAGATCTATATCATCAGCCATCTCATGGGTATCTCCATCCTAGCGTTGTACAAACATTTGTTATCCATATATTCAATATTGAGTTCAACCCTGTGCCAAAACCAGATCAGATTTTTTGAATTCCCTCTTTCATTAATAACTCATTTAGCCACAATGGAACACAAACAAAGTCAAGGGCTCATCCTACACCTGTTCTTTACTTCAACATAACAATCTGCTTATTCTGCCTCCTGTGTGTCAAAATCGGACCCTCTTTTCAACTCTACTGCCCCTAACCTAATGAAGCTTCTGTCTCTGACCTGGACATTTTGCCTTCAGTCTCAACTCCATTGCAACTCATATTCTATACCAGAGTACTCATTTTAAAATACAAATATAATTATTTAACTCCTGTTATTAAACTCCCAACTTCCTAAAACAGTGGTTTTCAAACTTCAGATCCCATACCACTAGTGGATCAGTAAGTCAGTTCAGATTTATTCACCTTTATAAGTTATTCAGATTTATAGGATAGGATAAAATAGAAGAATATACATTATGAATGGAGATATTGAAACTGTGGTCTTGGTTGTACATACATTTGTTCAATACATATATATGTATTGTGGTTTTGATGCAAAATGTATGTCTTACTGTTAGTCACAGTAAAAAACATTGAAAGCCTCTTGCCTGTGGATTAACATCTAAACACATTTACATACAGAGTTCACTCATTGATTTGTTCCTTGACTACCTTCCCAGCCTCATCTTAAATTGCTATCCAGGCTTGGGGATCACACCATAGACCTGCAGTTTTCCAAGTGTGCCATAATACAGCATACCTTTGCACATAGTATTTCTACAGCTTTGAATACCTTTTCTTCTTTGTTTACCTGTTAAACTCCTGTACATCTTTAAGATTCAACTTACGCATCATTTTCATTGGGAACTCCTAATTCACCTTCCTCCACCTGCAAGCAAAGCTGATCATTCTTTACTTTAAGATCTCAGGAGTGGGTATATTAAGTGCATCATTCTCTATCATATATTTATACATACGTAAATATGTAATATTATATATATAAACATATGTAAATATAATATATGTAAAATGCCCTAACTACAGAAACTGTGTATTTTATATCTAGTTCTTTAGAGCTGAGTGTAATACCTTAGAACTGACAGAAAAACTCAATCTTTTGTATATCAGCATTTATCCCTATTCTAGCTCCATCTTTTTTGCTGCTGTTAAGTTCTTCCTCATAAAACTGAAATAGGTTAAAAATTTTTAAACTGTTTTGAATAATCAGGCATATGAGAGGTGGATGGGGTGGAGGGGTGAGTGAGTGTATATAGACATAAAAGAAAATTAGATGAGTATTGGTAGAAAATGTAGATGAACTAATGTGTGTTTTAGATTGACTTGGAAAAGTTTATTAAATGTTATTAGAATGTTGTTAGATGTTATTAACATGTTCTTAGAAGGTTTAGATTGTGACCATATTTGAAGGTAATTCCATTTTTTTGAAACAGCATGAAATCAAGATATTTTATATCTTGCCCAGAATATAAGCACTCCTAAGATGACAAGATAATTATCTACCTTGTGAGAGGAGTATTGAATAATATTTCTTAGTGAACACAGACATTTCTCTTTTACCCATCCTGTCTCCTAAAATACAGGGTGGGAAAATGACAAAGACTATTCTGATAACCTGGAGAAAAGAATGGTGCAAATAAAAGGGAAAAATTCCTATTTCTAGAAAAAGTAAACGTATTCAGCAGACAAACAGAATTTTAAATCTAGTGATGTTTTTAAAGTTACAGGTATTCTAAAGAAACTTACATTAATTCATCAGAAAACTCAACATCAAGCTTTTTAACCTGTTCACTTAATCAGAATTCATTACTCAATAGAACATTACCTGAGATAGTGGCAAAAGGTAAGAATTGATGGTGTCACTAAAAATGCCCTGAAATTTATCAGTTTAAATTTTCTGTAAAAGTGCTTGTGATATTCATCAGCAAAATTGATTGAAAAAATAAAAAGGAAAAGCATTTGCATGGTGTATATATAAGACAAAATCATAGTGCTAATACATTCTCTAAATAAAGAGCTTTTTTGAAGTAATAAGAAAGGAATATTTTGGTGGGGTATTGGCACTTGGAGAAGGAAGTAGAAAAAATAAGTAAAATATATAAACTTTACTCTTTATGGAAAATGCGAATTATTATACAAACTAAAAATTTTACCTATTATAATACAAATAATAAATTGTAATTACATATAATAATAATTAAAACGTTTCTTACCTACGAGACAAGAAAAGATTAAAAATAAAGAGAAATGAAGGAGAGAGGAAAAAGACACATTTTATGTATTGCTAGTGATGTATAAATATCTCTTTTTGTTAATTTTCAATATAGTAAAAACAAAATTATGCTTATCTCCTTAAGCCAGCAGTTTTACTTTTATTGATTTATCTCAAGGGAATAATCAGGAATGTTCACTATTATGTGTTTACAATTATAGCCATGGCAGCGTTGTCTTGCAAAATGAAAAATTAGAAATATTTTGTGATTAAAAAGTAAGAGATTAAATGAATTGTGAAACTTTTATTCAGCATACTACTGTGCAGGTTTTAAAATCCTGATATAAAAAAATCTTATATGAAGAAATTGTTGTAATATGTTAATTATGAAAATACATTATAATATGAACTGAAAATTTGAGTCTATAATGTACATAAAGAATCTTAAGGAATTTTATGTACATAAAATTATGGAAGATATACATAAACATTAGAAGTGGCTCCGTGTGTGTGTGGTAAGATTGTGGATACTTTTTTAGTATTTTCAAATTTTGCAAAATGTATTGAATCATTCTTACAATTAGAAAAAAGCAAAAAATGTCTTATGGCATAAATAAACAGTTAAAGTAGCTGGGTTGCTAAAATTAATAAAATAAAAATTTTTTTTTTGGTCTACATAGGTAATGAAAAGGAACCTGGATCAAAAATGTGGTTATTTGTCCTACTGGGTAATATGCTTCGTGGAATTGGAGAAACACCCATAGTACCCTTAGGGATTTCTTATATTGATGATTTTTCTGAAGAAGGACAGTCTTCTTTGTATTTAGGTAATGTAAAGAAAATAGATTTTATGATTATTTTTCTTGGGTCTGCCCTTGAAAAAAAGTGTTCCTAAATTCACTGTGTTACTTATTACAACAATTATTTGGAGAAATGTATTATGTAATGTTGCTTAAAAAAACATTAAATAGGAATCATATATACTTGACATCTGATAAAATTGTTTGATGATATTTTCAGGAATTTTGAATGCAGTTGGAATGATTGGCCCAATAGTTGGCTTTATAATGGGATCTCAGTTTTCTAAAATGTACGTGGATATTGGTTATGTTGATCTGAGTAAGTACAACCAGAACAAAACCGCACAATAACGCTTTTCAGGTAGGGTATACCACTCTTTCGAATAATCCAGTTTACTCTTTAGTAGTCCTTGCTGACTGTTTGTCACAAGTTACAAATGGGAAATAAATTTATCAATAATCAGAATAAAAATAAAATTCAAATCCTATCTACACCAGCTCTTATCAATGTATTTAGTATAAAATATAACAAACTTGCTTACTGTTACTTCATCCAAAATACAAACTACTGGTCTCTCAGTGGACCCCATAATTCTTTCTCTGCATTTACACTTAAAAACCACCTCTCCTCTTCTATTTGCACAATTCTTAAAGTCTCTTCCACAGTGTGGCTCTTCTTAAAAAAAACCTTACTTCATCACCTCCCATTGGTGCAAGGTAAGTACTAATTAACTTCCAAGATAATGATTTTATGTAACCTAATCATAGTGAGCCATAAGTATTTGTATACTTACCTCCTATCTCTTTTAGTACATGACAGGATGTTAGTTGTCTTTATTAAGTAATCAGTGTTTGTGACTAGACAAATCTAATTTTCTATCTTGCCAGAACTTAAGGTAGATCTGCAAGGAGTATTAATTTCCAAAAATGGAGTCAGACATTAGAGTGGGCCAACAGTAGCTGCAAACTTGAAAGTATTTCATAATAAAATGCTAATTCATTTTGGAAATGTAGATTAGACTAGGTTCATATTCCATACATTTATACTCAGTTGCCTCTAGTTTGTGTTTGTTTTTTATCGCTATGAGTACAGAAATTGTTAAAGCTATAGGATGATAGGTTTCTGATCTCTTTTTCCATCATCAGAAATCTCTACTCACAGTATTTTGGAATTCATGGGGATTCCATTCTGGCACAGCACTGACTATTTAGACTTTATTTTATCTTCTCTTATTCAGTCATGAATATGATGTGAACATATTATGGAGAACACTTTGGCAAACTATCATGATTAGAGAGACAGAAGAGATAATATGAGTGATATCAGGTGTGTTGGTTAAAGGGAAGAGTTGGTGAGGGTGAATGACTCCACAGATTTCATGAAGAAATTTGCCTCCAGCATTGATAAAAATTTTCAATTGGCTTTCCATAAAACCCATATATCTAGATTTTCATGTAGAATTTTGCAGTTTTTAAGACAGAATGTGAGCCAAGGAAAACACTTTCACAGGCCTCTCTGGCTAGGTTATTACCTCTAGTTTCTATGTCTAGACTAGTGATAACAGAAAAAATTTATCAAAATGTCATTTCTAAAGATGATGAATAAATATTTAGTGTGTAGCAAGTCAGATTTTACCAGTCATTTCCGAAGTCTGAGTTGCTGGTTATGGAACAATATAATCATGCAAATCAATTTTATACCCGTATCTGAGCATACATGAAAAATATTCAGTTGATAGATGAATAATTTATTGTCTCGTGTTAAGGAATTTTCTTAGAGATCAAAAAGTAATAATGCCATTATTGTGGTTCAGATTTATGTGATGTGTGTGTTCCTTTCTTATTGTTTGGAATGTTTCTTTTATACTTAAATAGCTCATCTAAACTTGTCAAGATATAACATTTATATATCACTCATATACACTTTGAAGGAAAATATAATGAAACAAAATTATCTCTAAAATTTAGAGTCCAAGTCTTTGGTCACTTCAAATTCAAGTTTTCACTGCATATATACACATATATCTACACATATATCCTCTGTGCAGTTGAAGAGCTATGAATTCGGATTTCGGGAGAGAAAAAAAAATCCTGCTATTAGCTCTGAAAATTTCTGGTAAATTGCTGTAAATTTCATTGCTGGTGTCTTAAGTTCAGCATTGGTACCAATAAAAGTTCTCAGATAACAGCAAGAATTTATATATCTTCCACAATTAGTTCTGAAATGTTTTTTAGGTTTAAGTGTTCAATCATAGCCATAGCCCACCATCATCGAACATGGTGACCATCAGGTTTTCTGGTCACCAGAAGAGTCACCAAATTCACATGGGTAACAACAATGTCATGCCGAATTCCTGGATGGCAGCAATTGTAAGATGTCATTAATCTTGATTTCAAGATTGTTACCTTAATTTCAGAAATGACAAATGTAAAAAAAGAAAACAGTGCCTTAGAATAGATAAAATACATTGTACTTTCTTCATGTTGGAGAACAGCAGTCATTACCATGTTGCCCATAATTTATTGCATTTCAAAATGATGCTTGACTGGCTTCTTCTAATTCTTTATTTTAGGCACAATAAAAATAACTCCTAAGGACTCTCGTTGGGTTGGTGCTTGGTGGCTTAGTTTCCTTGTGAGTGGACTAGTATCCATTTTTTCTTCCATTCCATTTTTTTTCCTGCCCAAAAGTCTGGATAAACCAAAAAGAAAGAAAGAAAGGGAATCTTCCATATCTTTGCACGCACTCAAAACAAATGAGGAAACAAGTCAAGTGGCTAAATTAGACAACCATGGGGAAAATATTACTGGTAAGTATTTCTCATTTGCAATCAATTTGGAATTGTTTATTCCAGTGAAATGGAGGAATAATCCATAATAATAAGTCATTTCTAAATCATCTGGAGTTAGCTTTCTTTTGTGCTAAATTTAGCTGAATTTTTTTTCCTAAATAATAACCTACTAGGGCCTCCCTGGTTGCACAGGGATTAAGGACAGCACTGTCAAGCTATCACCCACTGCAGCACGAGTTCCAGCCCCTGCTGGCCAGGGAGCAACACACATAGTACAGCAGACCTTTCTTGACTTGCCCATTGCTCCTCTCAGCAGTGTATTTCAGTAGATCTGCCTGTTCTTCTCCCCACTCTCTCTGATGAATTCTCTTACCCCCTGTACCTCTGGCTTACACCCCAGTTCTTGTATGCATAAATAAAATAGATCTTTAAAAAAAATAATCTAAATTAGTAAATATGTTCTGAACATATACCAGCAGATCTCTGAAGAGATTAGTTAGCATTGTGGTCTTTAGCAGGGAGAAATCAACCAAAGACAAAAAAAAATCTGTTACTCATAAATCAAAGTATATATATTCTTTTCAAAATTCTATACTGTAAGCTACAAGGGTTTAAAAAAAACTATAATACTTCATTCATTCATTCTCAAGTGGTGCCAGGTACTATACTATTACTGGTGATAGAATATTGCCTTCCTCCCCCCCACCCAGAATTAATAATCTAGTCAGTTGTACCAATAAGTATAGAGACTATTATAATATAGTGTTTAAGTACTATGATAAAGTTAAATATAAGGGCACCTATAAATTGGATGACACCTACTTTTAGGCAGAAAGATGGAATAAGGAGAAGGAATTCAGAGGAGGTTTTTCTCTGGATATTTAGAAAAAGGTTATTTTGTTAGTAATTATATGGAAAAAGTATTGATTACCTAATATTCAAAAATGAAGTAGAAGCAACAGCAGTAGCTAAAATTATCAGTCAGTCAAGTGAATAAGGATCCTCCACCATTTGATAGTGCCTTCACTTTCAAAAATAAATTCTGGGGCTAATGGAAAACCATTGAGAAGCAATAATCTGGAGCAGCTACCAGAGCAAGAATTTTGAGTAAGGTGTTAACTGTGCAAACCTTGGAATTGGAGAGAAGTAGTGAAACAGTAAAAAGCCAGTGCAAAGCAATACCTCAACCCAGGGCAACCTTTTCAGGATGACGTGGAAGTTACACTTAAGTTTCCCTGATTTGGGGCCAACCCTCTACCTGTCCTTGGTTCTTCCACTCACTCATTTTATTTTTATTTTCTCCTCCCATCACTCTAATCCAAAAGCAATGGTATGCTCGAGCCAGCCTCTATTGGCTCATGAGAGAGAATAATGAAAATTTCAACTACCTTGCTAGCTTGAAGATGAACATGGAGGAAGAACTTACCATTTATAGAGGTAAAAACTGGAAAATACAACAAATCAGGCTTGTTTCCTCATAAGTCAGTTAGCACACCACTCAGTTAGAAGTTTTTGAAATGTAATGTACACACTTAAAATAGCATACCAGGTAATTTTCATTTGGTCTGTGCTGTTTTCACTGTACCAAATCAAGTCCCTAAAAAGTAATAAATTGTCTAAACTCCTAAGGAGCATGGTTGATTGAGAGCCCCAGAAGAATGGAAAAGATAATGAAAGTGCAAAATAGGACAATTATAAACATCATCTGCACTATCAACTGTATTTGTACAATAGTGATCAGAACAGTAAGAATTCTTAATCATGTGCTGTTTTTAATATTTTTAGATGAAATAGCTAAAAATATTAGTCCCAAAATCCAATATTAGATTTGTTCTTTACGGTCCTGAGTAGAAATAATACTAATTAGTTAGAAGGAAATAAAGGAAATTTGTAATTTATTATATAAACAATTTATAATCAGTGAGATTTGTTCAAAAGTGGAGCCAATTCCTGCCACCTCAAAAATTCAATGATTTAATGAGCCCATATGCTCCATTTCTATTGATCAAATGTCACAGTTCATTTAGAATGTCTCACAAGTCAGTGGTCCCTCCTGATTGGGGAGTTCCAGGGAGAGTTTAGCATTTTGGCCTAACAATTTTAAACACTATTTATTCTGCTGTAAATTTCCTTACCTCTTCCTTTTTCCTCATCTGTACCTTCTTTTCTTCTTTTGATTAATTTTATTTGTTAAATAAGTTTTTTTAATTAAAATACATAGTTGTTAGTATTTGGAAAATAAAGCATCTTCCCCTTCAGGTGAAGTCAACATAGCACACCCACTATCATAGCACCCATAGTCCTCCACCATAGTTCATTGTGCTGTCTCCCTGCCCTGTTCTCATCCCTCTGCCTCCCACTGTGAATGCCTCATTCTATGCTTAGCTTTCAAGTGTTGATTTTAAAGTTTGTCTTTGAATGACCCTTTGTTTGGTTTCTCTATATTCCACATATAAATGACACCATCAGGTATTTATCTTTGGCCTTCTGGGTTTTTTTGCTTAGCGTAATCCCTTCCAGCTCTACTGATGTTGCCTCAAATGGAATGAGTTTATCTTTTTTGATCACTGAGTATATTCCATGGTGTATATAGCCCACATCTTCTTGATCCAGTCACCTGACTTGGGCATATAGGATGTTTCCATATTCTGGCTATTGTAAATAGTGCTGCAATAAAAATGGGAGTGCAGGGGGCCTCCCCGGTGTTGCAGAGGTTAAAGATACAGCACTCTCAAGCTGCCAGCCACTGCAACATGAGTTGGATTCCTGGCCATGGAGCTAATCCAAATGGCATAGCAGACCTCTCCTGTCTCGCCCACTGCTCCCTAAAGCAGTGTTATTTCAATAGATCCACCTGTTCTGCTCCCCACTCTGTCTCTGGTGAATCATCTCAATCCCACACCTCTGGCCTACACCCCAGTTCTTGTATGCATAAATAAATCTTTTAAAAAATGGGAGCACAAGATTCCTTTCAAATTAGTGTTTATGTGTTCTTTGGGTAGATACCAAGGAATGAAATTGCTAGGTCATATGACAGATCCATTTTTAATCCTTTGAGAAACATACACACTGCTTTTTGTAGGTGCTGAACCAGTCTGCATTCCCACTAACACTGTAAGGTAGTTCCTTTTTCTCCACACCTTCCCCAATACTTGCCATCTTTACTCTCTTTGCTGTGGGCTGTTCTTACAGGTGTGAAGTGGTGTCTGCAGTTTAGATTTGCATTTTCCTGATAATTGATGACGAACATATTTTCATGTGTCTGTTGGCCTTCTCTATGCCATCATTGGAGAAATACCTATTCAGCCTATGGGTTGATTGGGTTATTTGTTTTATTTTTGTTAAGTTGTATGAGCTCCTTTATAGATCTTTGATATCAGTTCCTTGTCAGACATATGTGTACAGATATTTTCTCCCATTCAATAGGTATCTTTTTGTTGTGGTGATTTCTTTGCTGTGTAGAAATTTTTTTGTTTGATGTGGTCCCAATTGCTTATATTCACTTTTCTTTTGCTGGTGGGGACAAATTCACAAAGATATCTCTGAAGCTTATACGTCATGGACTGTTTTGCCTGTTTTCTTCTATGTGTTTTGTGATTTTAAGTCTTACACCTAAGTCTTGAGTTGATTTTTGTAGAAGGTATGAGACAGTGGTTTAGTATCATTCTTTTTCAATTATTGAAAAAGCTTTTCTTGTTCCAGTTAATATTCTTGGCTCCTTTGTCACAAGTTAGTTGTCCATATATGTGTGGTTCTATTTCTGGACTCTCAATTCTATTCCATTTGTCTGTGTTTCTGATCTTTTTTTCCAGTACCAATGTTTTAATTCTTATGGCTTTATAATAACTTGAAGTCTGGAAGTATGATTCTGCCATGGGTATCTTTTGTGTTTCCATATAATTTCAGTAATGTTCCATTTCTTTGAAAAATGCCATCTAAATTTTTATTGGGATTGCATTGAATCTGTATATTGCTTTGGATAATGTGGCCATTTTGACAATGTTGATTGTTCCAGTCCATGAGCAGGGAATATCTTTCTATTTCTTTGTATCTTCTATTTCTTTTGACAGTGTCATATAGTATTCTTCGTATAGATCCTTGACCTCCTTTGTTAACTTTACTCCCAGGTATTTCTTTTTTTTTTCTTTGTTTTAGTGTAATTATAAATGGGATTGTTTTCTTAATTTCTTTCTCTTCTAGTTCATTGTTTGCTTAAAAAAAGACAATTGATTTTTGTGTATTGATTTTGTAACCTGCCGCTTTGCTGAACTGCTTTATTATTTCAATTAGTTTTTAGTGGAGTCTATAAATTCTTTTTATGTATATTGTCATGTCATCTGCAAATAATGATGGCTTTACTTCTTTTTTCAAATCTGGATTTGAAAATTGCTCTAACAGGACTTGCAATACTTCATTGAATGGTAGTGGTGAGAGTGGACATCCTTGTCTTGTATGGTATCTTAGTAAAAAAAAGCTTTCCATTTTTCACCATTTAGAATAATGTTAGCCATGGGTGTGTCATATATGACCTTTATTATGTTAAGTATATACCATTTATCCCCAGGTTTTCAAAGGTTTTCATCATAAATGGATGCTGAGTCTTATCAATGCTTTCTTGGCATCTATTGATATCATCACTTGGTTTTTAATCATCCTTGTGGCTCTGGTATAAATCCCAGTTGGTATGGTGAATAATTCTTTTAACACATTGTTGGATTCAGGTTGCTATGCTTTTATGAGTGTTTTTACACTCTGTTCATTAGGAAAATTGGTCTGTAGTTTTCTTTTTTGTGTGTTGTCTGTGGTTTTGGTGTTAGAGTAATGTTGACCTCATAAAATGTGTTTGGATGTATTCCTTCTCTCTCAAATTTTGGAAGAGTTTGAGCAGGGTTGCTATTAGTTCATCTTTGAAAGTTTAGTATAACTCATTTATGAAGTCATCTGGTCTTGGACCAGATGTTTTGATGATGGTTTCAATTTCCTTGCTTGTGGTTTTCTATTTCTTACCTATTCAGTCT